TGACATCTATAAGGACCATTTTAAGTGAAATCTGATGACACAGTAATAGAGAATTCAAATTAAATTAAATTTTAAGCCACAATTCCAAATTTACACTCACATTTTATAATTTCCTTCTCCCTTGAACTCCATGTTTGACTGTTCTCTTAGTTACTGTCTTCATTTTACTTTTATCTATTTTCACTCAGTACATCATCCTAGGATGGCAGTTACTGTTTCAGCACATTCCATTGTCTTCCGGTTTCAACTGTTTCCAATGAGAAATGAGCTGTCATTTTTACTGTTGCTTCTATGAAGATGACTGGACTTTTTATTGGTTGCTTTTAAGAGTCTATCTCTTGGTGTTTAGACTTTTCTAATATTGTGCTAAAGTATTAATTTCTTTGTAAAAGATTTTTCCTGTGATAATTACAGGGCTTAATGAATATGTTGTTTGCTATCATCTGTCGTATCTGGAAAATTCTCAGCCACTATCTGTCCCTATCTCACTCTCATTTTCTTCCTTCTGAGATATCAATTACACGTATTTTAGACCTCCTTAACATATCACCTCTATCTCTTAAGCTCTATTCTGTATTTTCTATCCTCTTCTTTCTAAGCCATTTACTCTATTTTCTTATGATATATCATCCAGATCTAAATCCATCAAATTCTTAATTCCTGTTGTTTTATTCTTCAATTCTAGAATTTCCATTAGGTTCTTATGTTCATTTTCAATTTTCTGCTGAAATTTCTTATTTCATCTTTATCTACTTGAACACATCATAAAGTCAGTATCTGTATCTAATCATTTCATTATTCAAATACTTTTAGGTTGTTTACAGGTCTGACACTCTAGCTAGACTGTAAGCTCTTTGAGGGTGTATACTGTGTCATTTATTCTTGAATGGCTGATATTTGGTAAATAATTTTTTCCCTCTCATTCTTCCATCATACTGTCTTATTTGTTCATATCCTGATAATTTGGAACTCGGTGCCAGATAATGTATACAGAAAACCATAGATACAATTTGAGGCTTCAGATTATGATATCTTTCTTGAGAAGATTTATTTTTACTTCTGGCAAGCAATGAGGTTTGATGCACTAGTAATCCTGGATTATCTTAATCCAATCAGAGATTAAGAAGATGTGATGTGAAAGTTTAATCTTGGTAAAGGGGAGGAAGAACCGCTTCTGATTTACCCCTACCTCTAGGGAGCAACACTTCATTCAATATCCCAACCTAAAGCCCTACTTAGAAGGCCCTATATAGAATTTTAATCTTTAGCCTCAATAATCTGGAGACGTCTATTCAGTTTTTCAATCTCTTAGCTACCTCCTTAGGAACTAGAAGATACAACTAGAGAAAAGGTAGCCCCAGATGTCAGTGTCCTCTTTTTTCCCTAAGATTTGGCCTAGTATTTCTTCACAGCCGTCTTTTCTGTCTAATGCCTCCAAACAAATACACAAATGCAGACACAAATATAAACATAGATATATATATTTTTTAAAGTATTTATATTCTGAGGTCAGGTTGATTTTTATCAGTTGTTCTGAATAGAGGACTATTTATTCCTTGAAAAACTGTCAATTTTATGTACTGTGAATACTGTCTAAAACCTGTAACTGTCTTCACTTTAAGGTATCTTTTACTCTTAATTTTCATACAGTGAAAAATTAATTTTTTAATAGTCAAAGATTTCATGCCTTACTCAAAGTGTTTCTCTACCTCAAAATACAAAATATTTTTTAAACATCTTTTGTCAAATGTCTTTTCAAATCCTTTTGCCCATTTTTTAATTAGGGATTGTGCATTTTTAAAAGGAATTTAGAGTCATATGAGTTCTTTGCATATTCTAGAGAAGCCTTTTGTCAGATGTGTGTGTTGTTGACATTCTCACAGTCTGTGGCTTTTTTTTTTTTACACTTTTCTTAACTGTGTCTTTTAAGAAGTTTTTAATTTTGACAAAGTCAAGTTTATAAAACTTCTTTCTGACAGGTTAAGTATTTTTGTGCTGTAAGAAATTGTTGCCTATTCCAAAGTCACAAAAATATCCCCTATGCTTTTATCTAGTAGCTTCAGCTTTAAGCATGTAGATTCACTAACCATTTTGAGTTAATTTTGTATAAGGTGAAACACTGTTGGTTCAGGTTCATTTTTTTTAATTTTAATTTTTTATTTTTTGGAGGGGGAGGTAATTTAGTTTTATTTATTTATTTTTGATGGAGGTACTGGGGATTGAACCCTGGACCTTGTGCATGCTAGGCACGCGCTCTTTGCTGAGCTTACACCCTCCTCCCCAGGTTCATTTTTTAGAAATATTGATACCCGATTGTTGCAGTACTGTTTGTGAGACCACTCTTTCCTCCTTTATTTTTTAACACCTTTATTGTGGTATGATTCCTTAAACTACATATATTTCAGATGTACAACTTGATGAATTCTGATAGATGTATAGTCCAATGAAACCACCACCACAATCAAGATAGCTAACAATTGCATCACTCCCCGAGAGGGGCAAATTTCGAACTCCCAATTTATCCCTTCTCACCCCTTCTTTCCTCCTCTAAATTACCTTGGGACTTCTATGAAAATCAGCTGACCACACAGACTCTCTATTCCGTTCCACAATCTATATGTCTATCCTGAATTTAGGGGACACCATCTTGATTACCATGGCTTTATAGTAAGTCTTAAAACCAACTGGTATAAATCCTCTTGCTTTGCTCCTTTTGGAAAACTGTTTTGGCTTTTCTAGGTCCTTTACATTTCTGTGTAACATTTAGAATCTGTTTGTCAATTAATTACTATATAAATCACCACTGGGGGATTATATTTGGTTCTTTTATTATAATTTCTATTCTTCTTTGTTTTCATAGTTTTTTGTAATTCTTTGAACATAATTATAATGGTTGTTTTAACTTCCTCGTGTGCTAATGCCTATAATGTCTAGTCTGTTTCTATCTGGGTAGCTTTTTGTGCTGACTGTGGATCACATTTTTCAACTTCTTGAACTTCTTGTCATCTAGCAATGATTTTTGAATGCTAACAGTGTAAATGTTACATTGCTGAGTATCTGCATTCAGTGTCCTCCTTTAACAAGTATTATTGAGCTATGTTCTGACAGGCAGTTAATTTACATGAAAATCACCTTGATCTTTCTGAAGCTTGGTTTTTCCACTTAGTTAGGGCAGGTCTGGAGTAGCCTTTAGTTTAGCATGAGGTTAGCCTGCTCCTAGTATGGCTTGAAATCTCTACCGGGTATAATTTCTGATACTTCTTCAGTTCACAGATTCCTCAGCAGTTTTTTGTTCTCCAATAGTCTTCTCACAGAATCTCACCCTATGCAAGCACAGCTTAGAATCCGGCTAAGACTCAAGGCGACCCCCATGCAGGTATCTGGAGCTTTTTTTCAGTATAGCTCTCTCCTCTCAGATACTCTGTCCATAAATCCAGATACCTCCGCCTTCCTGAACTTTATCCTGTCTCTTCAATTCTGCAAGTGTGCAGTGTACTTCTTACTCTTCTTGAGATGCTCTTCATTGTGCCATTCCTGAAAGTTTGCCCCCAGTCAAAAAGTCAAGGGAATCACGGAGATATTAATTCTCCTCTCTCACAGATCTCACTCCTGCACTGCCTATTGGCCAGTATTTTAGAACAATTGTTCCCCTCTCTTCCTCTCTCTTTGTTCCCCCTAGTTTTCTAGTTGTTTTTGTTTGTTTGTTTGCTTTGTTTTGCAGGATGGCTACTTGGATACCAGTTACTCCATCAGAACGGGAAGGGGAAATCTCCACTTGTCCTACGAAGAGTTTCAAAGTATTTGTTTTAGATGTGTAATACTGTATCTAGAATTTTGTTTGGTTTTAAATATAATGGGAGATGAAGATCCAACTCCATCTTTTCCCCAATGGATAAAACATTTTTTCTGACTCCACTTATTCAATGATCTCTCTACTTTTTCTCACTGATTTGAAATTTCACCTCTATCACATAACAAAGTTTCATGAGGATTCAGTTCTATTCCTTTGGTCAATTTGTTCATCCTCATGATACTATCACACCCACAATTACTACAGTAAGTCTTAGTATCTTCTAGGGTAAATTCCTCGTTCCTACTGACCACCTTCAGATGGGCCTTATTTCTTTTTGGCCTTTACTTTTCTTTATAATATTTTAGACCCATCAAGCGCTATGAAAAACTGTGCTGTAATATGCATGGAATTGCACTGAATCTATAAATCAATATAAGGAAAAGAAATATTTTTATATTAGGTAGTATGTTCCACTAATATAGTATATCTCTCCATAACAAAAACAATTGTAACATTTCTTACATAGTTCTATAATTTTCCTTTTAAGTCCTATAATTCTTTGCTCATTTATTCTTCAATACATGATATTCTTGATACTATTATTAATGATAGCCTCCTTTACATTTTATTTCTGGTGTTCTACTGTTGATATAAAAAAAATGCAACCTACTTTTGTGTATTAACGTTTTATCTAGCCACCGTAAACTCTATTATATCTAGCGATCTGTAGTCGCATCCTCTATATCCACATTGCTCCCTTATACAAGCCATTATCACTTCTCAACTGAATAACTGCAACAACTTCTAATTAGTCTCCCAGTCTCTAGCCTTGCACTCCACCCTGGAGCTAAGAATTCTTTACTGGTCTTGCTATCTTTCTGACCTCTGTATATACTGCTCCTCCTATCTTTCTACCTCTTCACAGTCAACCTAACTTCTGCTTATTCTTTTAGTTTTTGATTATTGTCCTCAAATATTTCCAAGGCTAGGTTAACTAGTCTTCTTCTGTGTAGAATATCACTCTTTGCTTAATTCTTTTCTATTTCTTACTACCTTTAATTTTTCTGTGTCTCCAATTAAATTATAAATGTTTTGAGGGCAGCCTTCAACTTAATTTCTACATATTCCCAGAACCTATCAAGATCTTCTAACACATCAATAGAAAATTGTTCAACAAATGCAAGAATAAAATCTCACTTATATTTGAAAGATCCTTTTGAAATTTATGTCATTTTGCAGATCAAGAAACAGACAAATCACATTTGTGACTCAAGAAACTACTTTTAGAAAGGATGTCCAAAATACATGATAAATGTTTTATTATAAAAAAATAATTTTTTCATTTTAAATTTGTGTTTTTAATAATTATAAACCTACCAACTATGACGAAAATAAAAGAGGTCAAAAAAAGAATTAAAGATCAATAGTCAATGGCAGAAAAACTTACAATTAAAATACCAGAAGTACTGTCATTTTTTTAGGGGAACCATCTTGGTTTGCTTAGAGACACACAAATCAATGCTACGTCCCTGGCAAACCAGAGGAAGTAGGTCACTTTAATTTTCATATGACTACAAACACATTTATACAAAACACATGTTCAGGCTGGATTTTTTTTAACTTTATTATAAAACATGTAGGAGTATATTTTGGACATGTAATTTGTTTTTGAGTCATGCAGATCTGTACTGAAATCTCAGTATCAAGTTTTTGATATACAGTTACCTGGCATCTCTGAGCATTAAAATATATAAATGTTTCCCCCACAGTGGTATAAGTCTTTTATATATCCTAGACCATACATTTTTAATGTAGGAACACATGCCCAAGCTCATTTTTATTTCTTAAACAAAAGCTGGTATTAAAATCCTTACCTGTGTTACTTCTACACCAGTCATCTGGTACTTCTTCATCCTTTCAAATACTGAATGATCTGCACAGCCCCCCTGGGGACCATATTTATGGGGATAGTCTAAAACACAAAGAAGAAATGTCATTACTGTCACATGTTTAGATATTACCAATTATCTTATAAATGAAAATTTAACTGTCATAATTAATGAAAGCCACAAAAGCTTATTGAGAACCACTGGGAAAGGTATTGTGCTAGTCGTTCACATTTTAAGAGCTGGCAGGTTCTAAAGCTCTCCTTCAATAAAACATCACAGGGCTCTAGATTTTTGTCATACAAATAATTTGTGAATTCTAAAAGAGAAAAATAATCACTCTTTATTCTAGGTTTAACTTTCCCAACCTTATTCACTCTCGATACATAGAGCATATTAATACTGCAATTTACTTCATTTTCTAAAACAATTTTTATTGATTTATAATCATTTTACAATGTTGTGTCAAACTCTAGTGTAGAGCACAATTTTTCAGTCATATATGAACATATTTATATACATTGTCACATTTTTTTCTATGTGAGCTACCGTAATATTTCATTTTTTTTAACCTTCCCTTCAAACACATTAAATTTCTTATTCTGCAAATGTACAAGATCATCTTAATCTGAACTACCATTAGGCTGATAGAATATATTTGGTTGAATGCCAACTGGCCTTAAGGAAAAGTAAACTAGAAACATGCTCCATAGCACAGTAAAAGCAGATTGAGTTTAGATTTCTTCAATGTATAATTCAAGTGAATGCTTTACAAAGCAATAACTATTTTATTATCATTTGTTTTCCTTTTATAATTAAACAGTGATTACTTTAGTCTTAACTGAATTGGTTCTATTTTCAAAGAGCTGTCCAATTTAGTGTAGTTATTTAAAAGTCTATTCAACTCTCCCAAAGTTCACATACTTCCCCCTTATTAAGGTTCTCCTTAGTTTATGAATAAATTTTATAATTCAATCTAGTAATCACAATTAAGAGAACTGTCAAAATAAAATACCAAGACTTAGGTGAGAGGGGAAGCACTGAAACATCCTTAAGTAGCATACAGATACAATACACAGAATTACAATTAGAAACACTGTTTAAGTAAATCTAGAATCTAAAGCAGACACTAGTGACCTATTTTTCACTGAAATACTAGTTAAATACTACAGTACAAATCTAAACTGGCAGGTAGAGGGTAGGAATTATGGACAACCGACACATATGCATATAACATACATATAACAGCTACATATAACGGCTCCAATTTAAACTTTAAATTCATTTTTATCAGAGGTCAAGACCTTAACAGCTATAAAAATCTCAATTAGTAAGTGTGAAAGAAATGACAGACTTAAAAATTTACCATTGTTACCACCCTACAAGTAAAAACTGATTTAGGAAAGGATCATCAATGGTTGCTACACCTGTTGGGGGAAAGACGCCTGATATGTAGGATATTTAAAGTCTCTGAAAGTATCACCCTACAGATCAGTTATTAATTATAAGGGGAAAGGCACCTTCACATCAAAGAGAAACAGGAATTATTGTTCATTTACCCAGTGATAAAACTAAGCATTACCAGAATAGAACAATGTTATTATGTGCCTCTTGTGATGCAGTAAGAAATGCAGCTTCACCTACGCAGTATTGTTGGCAAAATACGGCAACTGAATCTAATCATGAATAAACAACGAGACACACTGAGAATGTAGGACATTCTATTAGTCACTGACCTAGACACGTGAAAAAAAAACAATTTTCTGTTATTAAAAAACAGAAAAGTCAAGAACTGGGGAGGGGGATGTGTAAAGGGACTCAGTAATTAAGACACTAAAAGAGACATAATAAACAAAGGCAAAAAAAAGTATTTTAAGATAACTGGAGAAATTTTATCATACATTGTACAGTAAATAACATTACTGAATTAATGCTAAGGTTTAGGGGTGAAACACAATTTTAGCTATTTAGGAAACATACATATTCTTAGGAGATGAGTGCTGAAGTATTTAGCAGTGAAGTTTCTCGATGTCTGCAATCTGCTTTCAAATGATTTCCCAAAAAAAAGTGTATGGCAGTGGGGGGTGGTAGGTAGTGGGGCGTGCAGCGCAAAATGTTTTTTTTTAAATGGCAAACCTGGGAGAAGGATATATGTGTTCATTGCATAATTCTTTTAACTTTTTTTAAGTTTGAAATGTTCTAAATAAACCTAGGACTAAACATTTGGAACAAGTTCAAATGATTTCAAAGTGGAAAACTAACACAACTAAAATGTTGAATGAGAAAAAAATCTAATATTTATTATTTGAATGTTTCAAAGGTTGGTTTTGGGAAAGTGAAAATACAATCCCATCCAACATATATCTAATAAGAATCTACCGCAAAGGCTGGAAAGTTTTCCAGTGTAATATGCCAAGATATTCAATCTCACCTTTTAGTAGATTTGCAGTATTATCACAATGCATTCCTCTGCTACTAAAATTTTAACATGGAAATGTCCCAGTGACCCTTGTCCAGATTCTTAACGGAATCTAGCTTGTCTGAACCACCAGCTGAAGAAGTTTCTCCATGCTAAGAAAACTCATTTCAATAAACAAAGAAAAAAAGGACAGGCACATTCATAGACAAGTGTACACACACACTTAAGTTCCTTATTCAGTTAATAAACTTTAAATCCCTTGGAATTTTGCTACTTGCTTTAATTGTAATATGAAGCCAAGTCCATAGTTTGACATTATTTATACATCCACCATTTGGTGTTATTTTACCCCAATACTGGGATAGTCCAGTCTCCAACAAGTAAAAATGTGGCCTGATTCATTCACTAACTTTCCTTTAAAAAAAAAAATTTTAATGGGGGGAAGGGTAATTTTAGGTTTATTTGTTTTGTTTTGTTTTTTTGAACAGAGGTACTGGGAATTGAACCCAGGACTTTGTGCATGCTAGGCATGCACTCTGCCACTGAGCTATACCTTCCCCGCTTTCTTTTAAATCATGGACTTATCTATTTCTTACAAGATAACAATGTGAACCAGGAGCAATGGGTCTGCTGACCCTAGGAGCAAATAAGTTAAAAAATGCTTATAGAGTACTGATACACGAAATATTTTACCACAGAATAATGAAAGAGACTACTGTATACATTTTCAAAAGCTTATTTCAATTTCTGTTCCAAAGTGATAAGCAACTAACTTATGATTCAATTAGTACGTTCTGTTCTTATTCTTCCTTTATGGGTCAGTTTGTGGTGCCTTGATTTAGATTTGTTTATTAAGTCAATGTTTAAGTTAATCAGAATCTACTTTTCCATTTACCTTAGGTTATTTTAAATTCAGTGAAATAAACGTATCTGCAATATTTTATGAAATTTTATAAAGAGCTGAATTAGATATCTCACAACACACACACACACACGAGCTTTTTAAAAACTATAGCTCAAAATTATCATGAAGTTTCTTAAAACCATCGCAATAACTTCATTACTCAAACTGCTCTCTCTAGCACAGATATGAACACAGACACTGGTGCATGTACATCGATGACCCCACTCCCAAATAAAAATCTATTTAACTGATACTTTCAAAAGAAGCACCATTGATTAAATCATTACATCCAGTTTCCAGGTGACTCTCCCTGAACATCTACCATACCTAGTCTCTCCATCCCTCACATTTCACCATCACCAAATTTTTAAAGAATCTGTTTTGGTTTGGTTTGTATTTAGGTTTATCTATTTATTTATTACTTTTGGTGGAGGTACCAGGGATTGAATCTCATGCATGCTAGACTCGCAATCTACCACTGAACTACACCCTCCCCCACACACACCCCCAATTTTTTTTTAAGTGTATGGGGCAAGAGGGATTAGGGAATAATGTGTTTAGCAAAATACACAACCTTCTGAAAACCCTTTATATCACCTATCAATCACTGAACCAATAAAAAGTTTTTAAATGTTCAAAGATTTTATTCGAAAAAACCATTTTACTCTTGGCACAGTTTGGCAGTCATTGACCAAACTGTGGTTCCTCATCATGTACATTATGTACAAAGCGAGACTAAGCTTCTCAGCCTCCCTTCCAAGCTAGGTGTGACAAATAACCGAGTTCTAGCTGAAGGAATGGGAGCAGTAGTTAAGTGCACTAGCCAGGATCCTCCCATGCTCTTTCCCCCTTCTGAATGGCTGGTAGGAGGCAAGTTGGGAATGGCAGAGCAATATGGGCACAAAGTAAAGCAGCCAAGATTCTTGACTCATTTCGTAAAGAAAAGCTGCCTGATTAGGATACTCACATTAAACTCTGACATACTGAGAAATGAGCTTTCAGTGCCTTTTGTCACTCCATTTGGGGGCTTTTAGTACTATAGATAGCACTACCTTTAAGACATGGCAAAAACTTTTTTTGTTAAGTAGAATAGAACTCATTATATATCTGATCTCCACTGGCATTTGGCAAGTTTTTCCTGTCCTACACAGAAAATAATCCTGGCCCAGCATTTCAGAAACTTTTTTTTTCTTTGTTTTACTTCAGAAACTGTTTAACAGTGTTAGTTTTCATTGTTGTTTTCTAAACACTTTCCTTTTTAACTAGTTTTCACTCATTCCAAGACACAACTTTTGCCAAAAAAATCAGTCATACAGTTAAGCTGAAGACTGATATTCACACAATAGTAATAATTCCATCTTTTAACTAAAGATAGAAGCTGGGAGGTTCTGCAACACCCAGATTAAATATTTTGCATGCTTAGAGAAATAAGTGCTATTATCATTTTTCAAACAGCTTTTCAAGAGAATTTACTGAATGCAAGATTTTCAGTTTTAGAGCAAAAAACTGTGAGGTCCATTAACAATCTAGTTGTCAGTCCACCATATGTCAAAACAACATTTTTGTTTTCATATATAATTCAGTTCAATTAATATACTTCAAGATATGGTGAAGTCAGTTGATATGCCTGAATTTATTCAAATGTGAGATATACCAATTATCATAATATAATCATTATAGAAACTAGGTTTACCCTTCATTCAAGGCATATGATAAAATACATTTTGAATCTGCTCCTACACAGGCACAAAAGAGCTGCTACA